ATTTATCCCAGGGAGAGGAAAGCCAATAATATCAACTTTAATTTCTTTCTCTAGCTGAACGATTCGTAGAAGAAAGAGAAGCGTCATCTAAGGCTCAGCCGTTCCACTCTGATGAGTCTAAAAAAGCATCAACCCCAGGTGGAGCTAGTGAGTAACATTTTTCAGTGAATGAATTTCTGCAAATAAATTAAAAAAAAACAATGTTACAAATATAATTTTCCAAATAATTTTTAATGCTCTCGTACCCAATCAAGGATCAGGGCTATTCTACTCTAATATATATTCAAGTGTGGCTCCTAACAAAACAATTCTGGCCCGAGAAATCTGAGCCATTTCATTCTGACTAGATGAGTTATATGTCTGTCGTTATATAACTTCAGCATATGGCAGTCATGGCCTATTATTCGGTTACCAGTTCATCTCAGGTATGGGAAGAGTAACCGACCGCTTACGTGAACCATCCTACAAAAGCACAAAACCCAGTACTACACTCGCACATAATTTTCCCGGGATTCGAATTTGCAAACCTTTGCGGGGTGATTAGAAGTGAGGTGTAAAGCGTATTCTCAACACAATTTGCCAACCTCTGAGCCAAGTCGATAAATCCTCTCTCTGAATTCGCCAACTTTTCCAATAAAATGTTATTCACTAGACCCGTGTGCCTCAAACTTTTCAATAATTAATTTCTGAGCAATCTAATAGTAAATCATCAAATTGTTAAACATGGAAGAACCAAACCAGAAATTAAATCAGTAATTTGGGGTGCAGGCATCTCTTTAGCACCTACATACATACAACCACCAGTAAGATTATGTCTAAAATGTCATGACATGTTTTTGTCTAAATAAGATTCATGGCGTTGAGGCGCACGATAGGCTCGCCACCGCACCTCTGATTACCCTGTGTGGGTTTACAAGTCAAATCTTGTGGAGGATAATCATGTACGAGAGGATTGCTGGACCCCTCACCGTTGTAGGGTGGGTTCCCTCCGCCATCAAGTCCATGCGTCTTAAAGTTACTTTGTTTTCGAATGCATGGACTTGTAGGTGGAAGGAAGACGTAACCTACCGGTGGTTACGTGAACCAACCTGCGGTAGGGAAGAATCCAGCAATTCTCTCGCACATAATTATTGCCCAAAGAATTCCAACCAGGGAACCCACATAGGGTACAGTGGCAAGCATATTTCTAAAGCATGAGCCACCACCCCACTGAGTGACGGTCTAGTTTGCGTGAAAAATAAAACTAAATATAAAACTATAAATATTGATACTTGAATATCTTTCTCCCCATTTTCAACTCAAATTCATTGTTCTAGGCGACATCAGAATTGAAGATGTTTTCGCTGACATTGCAAGAAAATTCACGTCGTTCATTCATTTCAAAATGTTTGCCTTGGCTGGAAATGGTCTCAGGCTCACTGCTGAAGAAGTTTCAACAATCATTGCAGACAATCCTGATTCTGTTGAAGATAAAAAGTTTGGAATGCTTGATCTTTGGAAAGAAAAAAATGGTAGGTTCTCATTAAACAAAATTGTTTTTAAACAGCAAGGAAGTTGTCTCTTTTAAAAATGGTTTTTTTAATCACAAAATATCTTTCCTTTTTATAGAGGATATAACTATAACTAGAGACTAAGCACCTTTCGACAACTTCCAACTTCTTTGTGTTACAGGAACGAGGGCATCACCGACTCATATAGCAAAGATTATCAAGCAATATTTCAGGCAAGAGAGAGGTGGTGTCACTGGTAAGTTATGGAAGGTTTTCCATTACTTGGTATCATCGTATAAAAAATGTGCAAGCGGCACTTTTTCTCATTCTTCTTCTTTCTCTACAAAAAAAAACTAATAACGACTGACCAAATGTTATGAAATTTTTGCGATTGGACTATTGCCATAACTTGGATTTATTTGAAATAAGTTATTGGAGCTGAATGAATTGGTTTTTTCTGTGTGCGAAGTGGTCATCGCGCACTTCATACCCATACTACTATGTTTGGCCTTCATGTCCGCATATTTGGGCGTCGCCCTCTTTTTTAGATTGACAATATATTTCATGTATGCTCATATCTAGGCTTACCATACGTCCCGCTTTAAGCGGGACAGTCCCACTTTTTAGCGACTTGTCCAGTTCCGCTTTTTAGCGTCTTGTCCAGCCGTCCCGACCAGTCAGCCGGCGTTCAGCCACCCAGCATAATACACGAACATTACCAATTAACATGTTCTCGTTATTGTTGTTGCTATGTAGCTCAGCGCTAGACTACTTGCTGAAGGTGAAGGCGGTATTTTGTTTGTTTCGTTGTTTTCCGCTAACATTTTTAGCGAACGTATCACATGTAACATTGAACAACGTCTTTTTGAGGAAGGTGTTACCTACAGAAAAGCATGATTGGCGAAGTAAATTCTCAATGCTTGGAAACGCCAGGCTATTTTACTATTCTTTCTTTCTTTTGCTGTACATAAAAAATTGAAATTCGAATTATTTGTATTGTTAGCGTCAATTCCTTTTTATTTTTCGAACTGAACCCGGCGGCTGATATTTGGACAGAGAACTTGCGCATGAACTCTCGATGACAATATGGCCAATGAGGACAGCCGGGATGATTTAAAAAGTAACCCTATGTAGTAAAATAGGAAAATGTGAAGTTACAAAATCACAGTAAAGGAGTCGTTGTCTTTGGAGGCGTCCCGCTTTGAAGTCACAAAAATATGGTCACCCTACTCATATCGTATGTGCTATTTGATTTTACCATTGTGTCTCCATGTCTGCTCTGGTATTGCTTTCCTCAAAATCCCTGTTTGTACTGAATATATGCCATATATAAATTATTTTATTGGTTTTCCTCTTCAGGAAATATAAAAACTAAGGTTATTTTTTTTTGTTTCAACTTCAAAATGCTGGGTTTTTCCAACAACACTCTATAAGACATTGACCTCTAGCATTTCGCCCTTGTGTCCCTCAAATAATTAGCTTCATATGCAAATGTGATTGATTCAGTTTCTTATCAGGTTCAAGAATCGAGGATGCTTTCCTAGCAGTTCCTAAAGTATTCGACAACGCTGCACTGTTCCAAAGATTCGCATTGTCTGGGAAAGGTTTATCGCTTAGTATGCACGAGGTTGGAAACATAAAAGAAAATGCAAAAAATGTGGAAGAGAGGAATCTGGATTTGCTCGTTTTGTGGAAATTGAAAACTGGTAAAGCTTTGATATTTGTTGTGTCTTATTGTTCGACTTAAGAAAACTGACATAGAAATTTCATGGTGGTGTAATAATCGCTTTTCATAGAGATTAGTTTGTTGCTTAGTTTGATAATTTAAATCAGGGGTGTCTAACCTGTTGTTCGGGGGCCAAATGCGGCCCTCAAGGAAAATTAATTCGTAAACAATAAGAGCATTTAAAATGACTTTTTGTATTAATTTAACTGTGTTTAACGTAACTCATAGTTACGTCAACTTTATTAATAAATTGATGCAAACCTACTCTAAGATACGGCGGCAATCTGTGGACATAAAATGTATGGTTAACTGTCATTTTATAATTAATTTTGATTCGCACTCTCGTACTTAAAAAAAGGCATAAAACTTAAAATATCACTTATAATCCAATATTGATATTAAAATATCAATTATATTTAAAAATATAAATTTTCTGGTAGCCAGCTTGTAGGTAACAGTTATCCCATTCTTTATTGTATGCAAATTCCGACATACACGAAGATAAGCTTTTTTTATTTGAATTTATTTTCAAAGTATTCGAAATTTCATATTCGAAAATAATAATTTCCAATGTATTCGAAATAGTGAAATATTCGTTACTGACCAGCAGAATTACTCGTCCTGGGCAGCAGAAAAGTTTGACACGCCCATGCATTCTTGTTTAAATATTTGTCTGGCTATAGGTTTCAGTCCCTTTTGATGACACAACTTGATGCAAAGTAGGCGAACAAAATTAGTCACCGCCATATTGGTACACACTACAGATAAGCTTATTTTATTGGATTTATTTTCAAAGTATTCGAAATTTCAAATTTGAAAATAATAATTTCGAATATATTCGAAATAGTTAATTATTCGTTATTGGCCACAGAATTACTCGTCCTGGGCAGCAGAGAAGTTTGACACGCCCTTGCATTCCTGTTTAAATATTTGTCTGGCTATAGGTTTCAGTCCCTTTTGATGACACAACTTGATGCAAAGTAGGCGAACAAAATTAGTCACCGCCATATTGGTACACACTACTTCTGGAGCGCCAAAAGTTTAATAGCAGATTCATTCATAATAGCAGATTCATCATTTTCTATTTTAATAACACAGGAGATTCAGCAACAACTGAAAAAATCTGGCAACTTGTAAATGCTTTCCTGGATGAAAGAGGAGAATCTCACCCAGGTAAATTGTTACTCAAATAGAGTTCCACTGATATCTGTTGTTATGGCAACCTGATTGTGGATGCCAGATTTACAAGTTATCTGGGGTTGATGGCTCAGCTCAAGTCGCACTTGTGAAAGAAACTTCATTCTAGCAAGGTAGAAGACTTATAATCAATGCAGTAGTAAACCTCACTGCTCTCACTTGTCCAGTTACAGCCGAGATTGAGGATTAACATAGCTGACCAGATAATTGTTCCAATTTCATGGAATTTTTAAATCTGACAAACAGATTTTACCACCAGACATTAAATTACTGATTTAGACAAAACTCTTAACAGAAATACCTGCAGTGTTCACTCTAGTGAAATTATGACTGCGAAGGTGTTTCGCAATTGAAACAAAGAGTGCGAAAATTAGGTGCCATAGTTTTTGATTAAACAATTTTAAATATTCGAACAAGGATTGTACTCATTAAAAATGGTTTCAACTGTTTTCGTGAAAAAGTGCTCTAATAGTGAACACTGCTAGACAGTCAATACAGAAATATATCAATCCTTGTTAATGAGTGATTTTAACAACCAAAGGTTTCAGGCGGGCACTTCGTCATCCTGATTTCCACTTTCCATACAGATCAGCCTCCACTGCATCCTCGTCCAATAGAACTTCCTGTAGCTGAGGAGAGAGCGGGTGACGCTGAACCACTCAGACCTGATGCTGAACCATCTCAGGCTGAAAAAAGACCAGTAAGGCAGGAACCTGGTGAGTGTTTAAAGAGATTTCTGCTCAATTTTGTTTCCATTGTAAGAAAATATGCTCAAAACTAGGTCATGTCGTTCTAGACCAGAGATGGGCGAACTACGGCCCGTTGGGTAAATCAATCTGGCCCGCCTGATGCTGCCACAACCAAACTAAAACCAAATTTTGATGTTTTAGGTAAAAATACCTCAAGGAATTTGTTGATATTGCGATTAAATTTAGTTTTGACGCGAGACTAATTGTTTTCCACTTTCATGCTTCTGTAATACTCTATATCCATAAAATGTTACGTTTTACGTCACACTTACATGGCCCGTCAGTCTAGGTGGGCAATATTTTTGGCCCTTGATCCAAAAACCTTCCCCACCCCTGTTCTACACTCACTCCAAAGCAAAAGATATTCTCTCCTAGCAAATTTATGGGCAGCCACTGAGGGTCTAGAGCTACTGACACTGTTCGACACTATTTTTAAATTTCCATACAAGACTCTTCAAGCTAAGCGTAGGTTTGGCTATACCACCGGTTCTCAACCAGAGGGCCATGGCCCACTTCTGGGCCACAGAAATATTTTCAGGTGGGCCACAAAACTCTTAAAAATTGATAAATTAGTTAAACTTGGATAGCAGTAGAAATTTATGGATGATGCTGTTTTTACTGCAGAGTGGTAACTCTATTTTAATTATTAAAGTGGAACTTTGCAAAAAGAGCAAGTAATTTTTTTTGTGGTTTTTCCTTTGCATGAAAAAGTTTATGAGCCACAGAATATGTTGTGCAACAAGAGTGGGCAACAAAAGAAAAAATGGTTGAGATCCACTGGGCTAGACGTTCCAAGTGAGGTGTATTGGCTATAGGATTTACATCGCCATCTGAGAGGCCTCCCCTGTAAAAAAATTGTTTGTTATGGGCAGCCACTGAGATGCCAAAAGCTACTAAAACTGTTAATAATTAGATTGGTGAATTGTAAGTTAGTAAATACGATTAACGCTCACCAAGTACAAGATTTCCATGGATTGGCTAAAACTCAGTGGATCAGGAGCTAGAACTAGGAAACATTATTAAGTCTCGCACTCGGTGGGTGGCAATGTAGGTATCCCAGAAGTATGTGTACCTATATGGAGGTAACTAAATTTTGTTTGCCTATTTTACGTCAAGTTGTGTAAATGGACTGAAACCTATGAGCAGGAGTATATTTACTTGGCTAACACAGACAGTCCCCGGACTCGTAATAAAATAAAATTAAGGAAAATTGGAATGAAATTATGACCTAACCCTAACCTGGTACACATACTACGAGAGTACTGAATTTCTGTGCGCCCTCTGACGTTTGTGTAATATGTATAAGAATCCCATGGATTGGCTGAGGACTCGATGGATCAAGTGCTAGAACTAGGGAACATAGATAAGTTTCGCACTCTGTGGTTGGAATCGTAACTTGGTGGTAGATTACCTTGGGAGAGAAAAGTCGATAAGTTGGCTTTCGTATGAAGTACTTCAAGATCTTCTGTGATTTCTTTCTTTAGCTGAACGATTCATAGAAGAAGGGGAAGCGTCATCTAAGGCTCAGCCGTTCCACTCTGATGAGTTTGAAAGAGCATCGGCACTAGGTGGAGCTAGTGAGTAACATTTCTGCTAGTATTTTTGTAAATAAGGATAGGATTTACATATTTATCCAAGGATGGAAAAGTATGTGCGACGGCTTAATCATATGGCAAACCACAGGCAACTGGCCAGTTCATGTCGGGTATGGTATTAATTATCCAGTTATGTTTAGGATGCGTGGACTTGAATCAGACACAAATTTATTTTCTTGAGCAAAAATATGAAACAATTTGATGTGTTTTATAGGAGTTTTATAGTCGGAATTGTATAATTTGGAAAGCTGGGGCTAGACTTGCAAATCAACAACGGTGGAACTTGGTTGTTGGGCTGAAATATGGACAGTAGTAAATCTGCTTTACTATTTTATAATTACCTTGTGTCAGTCGATCCACCTCAACGCCTACTTTTATTTCTATCTTCCAGGTCAAAGCAGTTCTGAAGTTCAAGCTCCTTCCAATGTACTTGGATCTCAAGGAGCAGGGAAGACTGTACCAGGTGACGTGACTAATTATTTAAAGTATGGGTTTGCAAACTGTGGCCCATGGGCCAAATGCGGCCCTCATGAAAAAATTGTGTGGCCCTCGGAGAAGTGCCAATTGTTTATGGGGTGGCTGTGAAACAAGTTTTTAGTTTAGTTAATCTTGTATGTGCGAGCAATTCCAATACCTTTGCATCACAAAGCCTATAACAGTACCTAAGGGCGATTGTCATATTGGCAATAAATTGAAATAACAGTTTTATGTAGAAATTTCTGCAAGAACCCCTAACAATGCCATAAGATAACAGTAGCTTTTCCACTGTTTTCACAAAAAAGTTAGGTAATAGTGAAAACTGGTAAAGAATCAATACAGCAGTTTAGCAACCGAGTGATTTTAACAACCAAAAGATTCAGGCGGGCACTTTGCCCTGAAATGAAATTTGATTTTCGCTTATAAGTTCCCCTCAATACTGCTGGAAAAAACACAATTTGATCAAAACTCCTTTAAAAAGGCTTGAATTGTCTCTAGATACTGTTGCTTCGTCTCTAGAAAAAACGCATCTTACCACAGAGCCTTTGCCCTCGCTACAGAGTCTCTGCAAGATATGAATAAAATCTCATCCTGATTCATACTTTCCATACAGATCAGTCTCCTCTGCATCCTCGTTTAATGGAACTTCCTGTAGATGAGGAGAGAGCGGGTGACGCTGAACCACTCAGACCTGATGCTGAACCATCTCAGGCTGATCCAAGACAAGTAAATCAGGAACCTGGTGAGTGTTGGAAAAGATTCCTGCTCAACTTTGTTTCCATTGTATGAAAATTTGCTCAAAACAAGGTCATGCCGTTCTGGCCTCACTCTGAAGCAAAAGATATTCTGCTCCTAGCGAAGTTATGGGCGGCTACTGAGGGCCAATAGCCACTGGCACCGTTCGACACTATACTTTAAATTTCCATACAAGACACTTCAAGACAGGTGTAAAATTTGCAATATGATCCACATCGCCACCTAATTAGTTCCCCTCGTCCAAAAATTGTTTGTTATGGGCAGCCACTGTGGTGACAAAAGCTACTAAAAATGTAAATAATTAGAATCGTGAATTGGAAGTTAGTAAATATGATTAACGCTCACCAAGTATAAGAATCCCATGGATTGGCTGAAGGCTCGATGGATCAGGGACTAGAACTAGGGAACATAGATAAGTCTCGTACTCTGCTCTGTGGGTGGAATTGTAGGCTCTCGAGAAGTATGTGTACCAATATGGAGGTAACTAATTTTGTCCGCCTATTTTACATCAGGTTGTCTAAAGCTACTGAAACCTATGAGCAGTGGGGTATTTACTTGGTCAACAAAGACAGTCCACGAACTCATAATAGAACTAAAAATAAGGAAAATCGGAATGAACTTATGTCTTATCCTTACCCTGGAACTCATACCGAATTTTGTGCAACTCTAGCGCCCTCTGACGCTTTTAATTTCTTCTTTGATATTATTCTCTAGCTGAAAGATTCGCAGAAGAAGGGGAAGCGTCATCTAAGGCTCAACGGTTCCACCCTGATGAGTCTGAAGGAGCATTGGCACCAGGTGGAGCTAGTGAGTAACATTTCTGCAAGTATTTTTGTAAATAGGGATAGGATTGACATATTTATCCAAGGATAGAAAAGTATGTGCGACGGCTTAATCATATGACAAACCACAGCCCACCTACCAGTCCATGTCGGGTATGAGATCAGTTAGCCAATTATGTTTTAAATGCATGGACTTGAACGAACGCAAAAAAAGCTTGCAAATGCTAAAATTATCAGAGATTTTATATTCGAAGCCGGAATCATCAATTTATGGCTTCATCTTCCTGGAAACAGAATCCTAGAAACCTGGTTTCCTCCATAGGAGGGTTATTTGGCTGCCATATAGACAGCAGGTTAGGAATAGGGATGAGTATATGGTCCCAATTACCATTTGAATGGCCTCCTTCATACAGGGTTATTGGGCTGACATATAGACAGAGGGTTAGGAATAGAGATGGATATATGGTCCTAATTACCATTGGAATGGCCTCCTTCATACAGGGTTATTGGGCTGTCATATAGACAGAGGGTTAGGAATGGAGATGGATATATGGTCCTAATTACCATTTGAATGGTCTCCTTCATACAGGGTTATTGGGCTGACATATAGACAGAGGGTTAGGAATAGAGATGGATATATGGTCCCAATTACCATTTGAATGGCCTCCTTCATACAGGGTTATTGGGCTGTCATATAGACAGAGGGTTAGGAATGGAGATGGATATATGGTCCTAATTACCATTTGAATGGCCTCCTTCATACAGGGTTATTGGGCTGTCATATAGACAGAGGGTTAGGAATGGAGATGGATATATGGTCCTAATTACCATTTGAATGGTCTCCTTCATACAGGGTTATTGGGCTGACATATAGACAGCAGGTTAGGAATAGAGATGGATATATGGTCCCAATTACCATTTGAATGGCCTCCTTCATACAGGGTTATTGGGCTGTCATATAGACAGCAGGTTAGGAATAGAGATGGATATATGGTCCCAATTACCATTTGAATGGCCTCCTTCATACAGGGTTATTGGGCTGTCATATAGACAGAGGGTTAGGAATGGAGATGGATATATGGTCCTAATTACCATTTGAATGGTCTCCTTCATACAGGGTTATTGGGCTGACATATAGACAGAGGGTTAGGAATAGAGATGGATATATGGTCCCAACTACCATTCGAATGGTCTCCTTCATACAGGGTTATTGGGCTGTCATATAGACAGCAGGTTAGGAATAGAGATGGATATATGGTCCCAACTACCATTTGAATGTTCTCCTTCATACAGGGTTATTGGGCTGACATATAGACAGAGGGTTAGGAATAGAGATGGATATATGGTCCCAACTACCATTCGAATGGTCTCCTTCATACAGGGTTATTGGGCTGTCATATAGACAGCAGGTTAGGAATAGAGATGGATATATGGTCCCAACTACCATTCGAATGGTCTCCTTCATACAGGGTTATTGGGCTGCCATATAGACAGAGGGTTAGGAATAGAGATGGATATATGGTCCTAATTACCATTTGAATGGCCTCCTCTATACAGGGTTATTGGGCTGACATATAGACAGCAGGTTAGGAATAGGGATGGATATATGGTCCCAATTACCATTTGAATGGCCTCCTTCATACTGGGCTATTGGGCTGTCATATAGACAGCAGGTTAGGAATGGAGATGGATATATGGTCCTAATTACCATTTGAATGGTCTCCTTCATACAGGGCTATAGGGCTGTCATATAGACAGCAGGTTAGGAATAGAGATGGATATATGGTCCCAATTACCATTTGAATGGCCTCCTTCATACAGGGTTATTGGGCTGTCATATAGACAGAGGGTTAGGAATGGAGATGGATATATGGTCCTAATTACCATTTGAATGGTCTCCTTCATACAGGGTTATTGGGCTGACATATAGACAGAGGGTTAGGAATAGAGATGGATATATGGTCCCAACTACCATTCGAATGGTCTCCTTCATACAGGGTTATTGGGCTGTCATATAGACAGCAGGTTAGGAATAGAGATGGATATATGGTCCCAACTACCATTTAAATGGTCTCCTTCATACAGGGTTATTGGGCTGTCATATAGACAGCAGGTTAGGAATAGAGATGGATATATGGTCCCAATTACCATTTGAATGGCCTCCTTCATACAGGGTTATTGGGCTGTCATATAGACAGAGGGTTAGGAATGGAGATGGATATATGGTCCTAATTACCATTTGAATGGTCTCCTTCATACAGGGTTATTGGGCTGACATATAGACAGAGGGTTAGGAATAGAGATGGATATATGGTCCCAACTACCATTCGAATGGTCTCCTTCATACAGGGTTATTGGGCTGTCATATAGACAGCAGGTTAGGAATAGAGATGGATATATGGTCCCAACTACCATTTGAATGTTCTCCTTCATACAGGGTTATTGGGCTGACATATAGACAGAGGGTTAGGAATAGAGATGGATATATGGTCCCAACTACCATTCGAATGGTCTCCTTCATACAGGGTTATTGGCTGTCATATAGACAGCAGGTTAGGAATAGAGATGGATATATGGTCCCAACTACCATTCGAATGGTCTCCTTCATACAGGGTTATTGGGCTGCCATATAGACAGAGGGTTAGGAATAGAGATGGATATATGGTCCTAATTACCATTTGAATGGCCTCCTCTATACAGGGTTATTGGGCTGACATATAGACAGCAGGTTAGGAATAGAGATGGATATATGGTCCCAATTACCATTTGAATGGCCTCCTTCATACTGGGCTATTGGGCTGTCATATAGACAGCAGGTTAGGAATGGAGATGGATATATGGTCCTAATTACCATTTGAATGGTCTCCTTCATACAGGGCTATAGGGCTGTCATATAGACAGCAGGTTAGGAATAGAGATGGATATATGGTCCCAACTACCATTCGAATGGTCTCCTTCATACAGGGTTATTGGGCTGTCATATAGACAGCAGGTTAGGAATAGAGATGGATATATGGTCCCAACTACCATTCGAATGGTCTCCTTCATACAGGGTTATTGGGCTGACATATAGACAGAGGGTTAGGAATAGAGATGGATATATGGTCCTAATTACCATTTGAATGGCCTCCTCTATACAGGGTTATTGGGCTGACATATAGACAGCAGGTTAGGAATAGGGATGGATATATGGTCCCAATTACCATTTGAATGGCCTCCTTCATACTGGGCTATTGGGCTGTCATATAGACAGCAGGTTAGGAATAGAGATGGATATATGGTCCCAATTACCATTCGAATGGTCTCCTTCATACAGGGTTATTGGGCTGTCATATAGACAGAGGGTTAGGAATAGAGATGGATATATGGTCCTAATCAGTGTTAACTCTAAGCAAATTATGAGTGCGAAAGTGCTTCGCAGTCGAAAAAAAAAGTGCGAAAGTGCTTTTGCCGATTTTAACAAGTTAGGTGCCCTAGCCTTCCATATAACCCATTTAAAACGGCATAGATACTCGAAAAAGCGCTCCTCCGGTTAATATTATGAATTAAAGAGAAGCCTTTTCCGAGTTCCCTTTAAGCGAATTCGTGTTTAATCAAAACAAGCGAATTCATCGGCAACGAAATGACATCTGCTAACACCTGCCCCGACGAAACTTTCATGCAATGTATCACGGTGTCAGTTGCTTACTCGCGTAAACAGCAAAGACTTCACATTTGTTACTCCTTCCATCTAACAGACACGAGGCAGGCTGGAAACCATATTAGTTACAGGGTGGATCGTTTGTACAAATCCCGTGCAAAATAAATCCCCCCCCCCCCCCAAATATAAATAGCAATCAACTAATTAGGGTTAGGTGCGCTGGAAATTCAACTTTTCGATTTACCCCTAAACCTAATCTGATAAATATTAATTTGTGCTTTTGAACCACTTTGAAAGTCGCCACCCACTGTTTTAAAAGATAGGTTAACCTACGTTCCCTCCGAAAATATTACCGCAAGATTATTATATATTACCCTGTTTTAGGAGATAGATTGACCTACTCTTTCAAACTTTTTTCTCCGAAATATTACACAAGATCACTTTGAAAATCCTCCGTTTCGTGAGCTAGCGTGACCTAATTTCTCATTTACATTTATATTATACTATTTCAGAGCTTACCCAAAGACAAGTAATTTTTAAATGTCGACATGCCTTGGTTTGCATGCGAGTTAGTTTAAATCGGGCAGAAAACATCATATATTGGCAAAATGTTTAGTAATGTCATGTACTTTCAGCATTCATAAATAGCACTCTTTGTAATGCTGCTGACCTAGTATCAAATATTCGCATCACAACGCCACTTGCGAGGTTTCCATATATTGCAAGTAATCTAATAGGAACGATGCCACCAAAGAGTTTTCTTTTGCTAAGGTACACTAAATATAACGAGGGTGATTCTTGAGAAAAACATGAATATAAAAAATAAACGAATGATATGATAGTGGATCCCAAATAATTTTGAGAATGTCTCGAAATACCAATCCATTTGATAAATAATTTTTATTCGACCACATGACCGCTGATATCCTGAAAATTAATGTTGAAAAAGAATTACGCATTCTCAGATATCGGACATCCAGTCGCGATATTCAATCGTTTATATGCACAAATCTCACATTAATAGTAATTGCTACCCAAGTTTGTGAAGTTTAGAAACCAACAAACAGAAAATAACTTATCCTAAAACACAATTAAAATTTAGTCGGCAATAAATTCGTCGCCAAGACGATGCCATACAAAACAAAAAGATTTGGTCGCGAGAGTTACGTGCGTTGTTTTTTAAGCAGAATGTAAAAATTTTTATAATAAACGGGAGTTACGACGCCCTTTACACATCGTGTTTATTAAACTTTCCTGGTAAGTACTATTATTATTGTACTTATACACCTGTTGGAGTATTTCGGACAATTTCGAATTTTCAGTTATTATCGTTATACAAATAACGTGTGGCAACTTTTTAATTTATCGTCGACAAAAAAACCGCCCCACACTCGTCCAAACGTGTGTCGAGCTTGAACGACAGGAACAGATTCATCGACGACCTTAATTAGGGAAAATAGGTATTTTATTGGGAATGCAAAATAAATGTAACAAAACGCATTTTTTTGTGATATAACTTTGTATTTTCGGAAACGGGTTGCCGTGAAAGGTAAAATTTGATCTAAATTAATCGCAAAAAGGTTTTATTTTAAATGTAACAAAACACATTTTTCGAGATACAACTGTATTTTGAATGAAGAGTAAAATATGATCTGAATTAATCGTAAATAATGTTTCATTCCAAATGTATCATAACGCATTTTTTGCGATATAACTTTGTAGTTTCGAAAACGGGGAGTCACGAAAATTATTAATCTGATGTTTTATCTATCGTCTAACTAACGTCTGGAACGCTGGAACGGGGAGAACTCTAGTCCGCGAAACGTCATTTAATTTAAAATAGAGAATGTTTCACGCATTTCAAAACGGAAAATCACCAGTAAGTGGACAGGGATTCAACCCTCCGGATTCAGTATTCTATCTCCCCCGTGTCAGAACTTTCTGAAGAATGGAACAAAGAACCCTCAAACCGCCGCGGAAAAAGGGGAGTATTTTTTGCACTAATAATTAGGGCGTGACAATATCAAAATCGTCAAGAAACTGGTGAATTTGCAAATTCCATAAATAAAATTGTGAATTGCTCGGTAACATTTTAGCTATAATTATCGCCGGGGTATTGTTTTGTTGAAAACACGTTGAAACTTGAGGGAATTAGTTACAACTAGCGCCTGACCTCTATTAGGCACTCGAGCACTCAAAAAAAAAAGCGCTCGAGCCCAATCTTTTTAGCATTAAGTCGCATTCGTAAAATATCCTGTAAAAAAGTGCTGTTCATTAACGTCATCTCGTTTTATGACCACGCAGAAATGCCTTTATTGCCGAATTATTCAATCACTATTTTAAATCAATATTCAGGATTGGCACAATTTCAGACTTGCGAAGTTTATCACCATAGAAATACATGAGAAAGTTAATTATCGTCTTTATAAATATCTGCATCACGGTATGGACAATAATATTACCATTCGCATAAAATTAGGACGGTAAATTTACAAATCTTGATAGGTAATATTAAAGCCAACGCAAATGTTAATTTGAGTCCTCAATGTCTTTGAGTCCTCAGCTGTTGCTGATGTGAACGAACGGGTAAACCCGAAATATAAAACTTCGATGTCCGCCACCCCACAAGAATTCATATTTGTAAAAAAGAGAGGGCGGGAATATAGATTACCCAAAACCTGGATATCGCCGCCAAAACGATCGGTGACAAGAACAATTAGCGATTACAACGGAATTAACCAGTAAAAAGGCTTTGTTGCCGATTTTTTAATGTTTACACCGCGTTTATTCGGTACTCCTTAAAAATATTCGATTCAAAAAAATATTGAATTCTGCCCACCCAACCTCGCATATCAATGAGAAATAGTTGTGTAAATATCGCAAAATTCCAGAAAATGCCACGTCCTTTCAACATTGTGATTACAATAAAATGGCACTTAATGGTATTTTGTGAACTTGGTGATTTTGCAAATCTGTGACATGCTGCTAAAAGTTTTGTCTGATTTGAAAATTGTGCAGTTTGGTCACAATTCATCCAAAGTGACCATAACACCTAACACTTTCATAGTCATTTTGAATTCATCGATATCATTGATAGTCACATGACCACTCTCGTTCAAAGAAACGCACTGCGTATTATTCCAACATCTGGTTTCAATCACGGAAGCGTTTTTTGCGGGAGAAGCGGAATCGGTGTGCTTGTATAATAATCATATTATAAACAAGAATTTTGCCGTTAATGCAAAAGCTTTATCTCCTATGTCTGCATCTCAATGGTTAGAATTCCGGTAAATATCGTTATGATATGCAGAATTGAGTTATAAAAGTACTAGTATGTTACTTATTTGTCAACTTAATACTCAAAAATATTTGTTAACTTTGAATTTTTATTCCATTCGGAATCAGAAAAAAGTGCTATTTCTCTTCAAAATCGGAAAAAAGGGCTATTTCTCTTCAAAATCGGAAAAAGGTGCTATTTCGCAGTCCCTAAAAAAAGTTGCGAAAGTGCTTCGCAATTTTCGCAAAAAAGTGCGCTAATAGTGAACACTGGTCCTAATTACCATTTGAATGGCCTCAATCATACAGGGTTATTGGGCTGTCATATAGACAGAGGGTTAGGAATGGAGATGGATATATGGTCCTAATTACCATTTGAATGGTCTCCTCTATACAGGGTTATTGGGCTGCCATATAGACAGCAGGTTAGGAATAGGGATGAGTATATGGTCCCATTCCATCCATCTACTGAACATGTTGACTGCACACACAATGAGTTGCAGCAAGTTTTCAAACCGCTTTGCTTTTCTAAAATTACCTTGTGTCAGTGGACCCACCTCAACGCCTGCTTTGATTTCTTTTTTACAGTTCAAATCAGTTCCGAAGTTTCAGCTGTACTTGGATCTCAAGGAGCAGGAAAGCCTGTATCAGGTGACGCGACTTATTTTTCAAAGCAGGGGTGTGCAGACTCCGGCCCTTAAGAAATAATTGTGCGGCCCTTGGAGAAGTGCCAACTGTTAATGGTGTGCCGCGAAACAAAGTTTTTGGTTTAGTTAATCTAGTATGTGCGAGCAATTCCAATACCTTTGCATGGAAAAGCCTAAAACAGTACCCGAGGGTCACTGTCATATTAATATATTCAACTAGTAGTTTTCTTAAGAAATTATTTGTTTTCACTCACAATTTCTCACTTCCTCTCAAACAATACTGTAAAAACAAAAAACAATTTTTGTGGATTCATCTACTAGAAAGGCTATCTTATATAGAGATTTGGCTAATGGCTAATTAATATATTCAACTAGTAGTTTTCTTAGGAAATTATGTGTTTTCACTAGGGGTGGGCAAAATCGAATATTTTTTTCGAATCGAATAATTCGAATATTTTTAACGAATACAGAATAGTCGAATAACGAACATTTTTTATACACAACAGGAGGTCCAGAACGTCGGTCGATACTCACTTTGGAAATTAATGAAGACATTGAAAAATCGGCTACAAAGCGTTTTTCAACTGGTTAATTTTTATCACCGTGACCGTTTTTGCGGCAATATATAATCTATATCACCGCCCTTTCTGTTTTTTGCAAGTATTAATTCTTTCGGTTCGACGGACATCGAAGTTTATATTTCGGGTTTACCCTGTGTTCACGTCGGCAACAGCTGTTAAAACCATTAGGGATTGATTTCAAAACCCATTAATATTATTAATTAATAGTATTCTAATCTATATCATTTGCATTGACTTTCATATTACTTATCAACGTTTGTAAATTTACCGTCACAATATTAGGCGAACGGTAATATTATTATCGTTATCGGGATGCAGATATTTATAAAGACAATATTGTAATTAACTTTGCTATGCTTTTCTATGATGTCTATGTTACTTTACAGATAAACCTCGCAAAGCTGCGATTGCGTCAATCCCGAATGTTGATTTAAAATAGTGATTAAATAATTCAGCAATAAAGGCATTTCTGCGTGGCCATCTGACGAGATGACGTTAATAAACAGCGCTTCTTGAATAATAATTTACATATGCGACCTAATGCTGAAATTTGAAAAAATTGCGCTTTTGTACTTTTGTGCCAAATAGATGGTCAGGCGCTAATTATAACTAACTCTTTCAAGTTCCGACGTTTTTTCAACAAACCCTGCGATCATTATAGCTAATATCGTTACCAAGTAATTCACAATTTTATTTACGGAATTTGCAAAATCGCTTTTACTTCTCTTGACGATTTTGATAATGTCACGCCCTACTTATTAGTGCAAAAATGCTCAAAATATAACAAATGTAATCATTTCCGATGATACTATACAACAATTCGTAAACGAGAAAGTGCGCGTTGTTACATCAAAATTCACGATTGATTTTGCGCTTTTCTCCTCTTCACGACGCCATGCATGCCGGAGTAAAATGTTTACATTTTCGAAACATTACTTGTTCAAGGATGAAAGGGATCACTAAAGAATTATTTGAAAGTACATTAAGAGAACTATGTCCTTCCATTTTTTTTCTGGTCATAGCTTGTTCGTGGTATACTATGTATAGTTTCATGCGAAAGTTATTTCAACTTTTAATTTTCGTTCAACAAATTTATGTTTGGTTCATGCCTGAAACGGCTAATCACGTGCCGCGAATCATACGGAGTTTAAAATCTGGGATATTTGTCTGTTAGCTTTTGTCTGTTAGCGAGCGTTGTAAGTGAATTCTCGTGCAATCAACGATAGGTTCAGAGACGTTCTGTGGCCTAGTGGAGCGGCGCAGATCACGTGGTACCCGATATTCGAATAGTAAAATGCCATTCGAATAATTTAATATTCGATTCGCTATTCGTTATTCGAATATTTTGCCCAGCCCTAGTTTTCACAATTTTTTCAAAAAAATTGTGTGGCCCTTGGAGAAGTGCCAACTGTTAATGGTGTGCCCGCGAAACAAGTTTGTAGTTTAGTTAATCTAGTATGTGCGAGCAATTCCAATACCTTTGCATGGAAAAGCCGAAAACAGTACCCGAGGGTCACTGTCATATTAATATATTCAACTAGTAGTTTTCTTGAGAAATTATTTGTTTTCACTCACAATTTCTCACTCCCTCTCAAACAATACTGTAAAAACAAAAAACAATTTTTGTGGATTCATCTACTAGAAAGGCTATCTTATATAGAGATTTGGCTAATGGATTCACCTGGTTACTTGTATTTGGCCCTCCTGTAATAATGGTTGCACACCCCTGATTTAAATAATAATATTACAAATATTTCACTCTTACATGACCTTTAATTTATTTATTGTCATGTATATTCTACTAAATTAAAGTTATGAAAAGGTAAAGGTATGAAAGGCACTATCTTCAGAAACCAGTTTCTGGCAACACAAAAGTTAGACACGCCTGTGACCATTAGTCAACGTACTTGAAGCCTTGGACCTTCGTCATGCAGTTTGGAACTTGGAAATCTATTATTACAGCATAATAAATCAATAAAGTTTATGATATCATTGTTAATTGAAAAGCGGCTTTCCCTACTCTAGAGTGGAGGAGTGCAACAGGTGGCCCGCGGGGCTCGATAACATTTTAGAATGGCCCTCGTCAACACTTAAGTATTTTCCCATCAAACAAAAAAACCTAATCTAACAGTTATGTTTAAATATGCGCTCACAAGCAATGTAAAAACTTGAAATTTTGCCAGTTATTCCATATAATTCAATAATTATACAACTGTTTCTTTCAGTTTCATTTCCGAAAGGGAAGTTCGATCGAGCTCACTTTGGGGATCAACATATTGCGACTCAAAATATAAGTAAGTGTTTTGTTTTTTCTATTAAAAACTGAATTGAGAGGATTTCTGACAAAAAAAGTCTTTGCAAGATCACAGGGTGTAATCGGTGAGAAATTCCACCGACTCAGAGGATTATGGGGTCCAATTGGGGATAAATTTCATCGACTCGAAGTCGTATGAAAACTGCATTATTGAGTTTAGACCAGGGGGTTGAAACCTGCGACCCTCAAAGAAAATTGTGCCGATTTTGATTGCGGTCTGCGAATAAAATTTTTCATTTGTTTTAATCTTCTTAAAATACAAAAATATAGAATCATAAAACTCGTTAATCGTGCTATAATTATCGTGGTTGTACAATGCATGAAATATTTCAATTTCTTCACAGCGAACTACTATGGTCCTGTGGTTAATCAAGATTCTGCTCAACAAAATCGAAAAGATGCACCGGGTGCTATAAAAGCTGCTGTAGGTTTGGGTGAAGACGATGGTATGTTTAAATTGATAATTTGTTAAAATATTGTGAGGCTTGCTAATAGGGTGACAGGGTATATCTTTAGGGAGTCATGATAACAGGCTGATCAACTATTTTCACCAAATGTTCGCACACGAAATGTAAGATTTAAATATATCTTTAGGGAGACACGATAACTGGGCTACTCAGCTATTTTCACCAAATCTGCTCACACAACTATATATGATTTACATATATCTTTAGGGAGACACTATAACCGGGCTAATTAACCATATCGTGAAATGTTTGCAAACAAAATTTAAGATTTAAATAATCTTTAGGGAGACACTATAACAGGGCTACTCAACTATTTTCACCAAAAGATTACAGAAATTTAAGATTTACATATATTTTTAGGTTGACACTATAACAGGGCTACTCAGCTATTTTCACCAAATCTGCTCACACAACTATATATGATTTACATATATCTTTAGGGAGATACTATAACAGGGCTACTCAACTATTTTCACGAAAGGTTCGCACACGAAATTTGTCTAAAATAGGGGTCTTCACAAAGTTCATTAGTTTTTTTTTAAGAATGAAAAAGTGATAAAATATCCCGCATATTTTGAGCACATACATATTTTAATAAGCAGAGAAAATAAAAATGCTCATAAAATATGGCGATGCGTGGTAACCATAAAGCCAAGCAACTCTGACCTAGTTTTGTAGTTTCGTATCCAACTGCATAATATAGAGCCTTTCGCGACAACGGAAGGTTATAAAACGAGCAAGAGGTCAGTTTTGAAAACTCGTCCCGTAATGGCCTCCACGCTCCAAGGTTGCTGTTTGATTAGGTCAAATCATTTTTAGGTTCATGAACAAGTTGAACTATGATATAACGCATGCTCACAAATATACTCGCGTATTTCGTGGCAAGAGAATATGCTATTTTTATTTATCACTCGAGTCAGTTTATTAAAACAATATCAGTCATTTAAAGCGACTTGATATGAGAAACACCTAAGATAATTTTGGAAATTTGTTTTATAATGTTTTATAATTGTTTTATAATGACTTGACTCTAAGCCAAAGTTGACTAAAATACAAACCAAATTGATAATAATCATGTCCATAGAGCTGGTAGTAGGTTACCGTTACGTCAGTTCACAGCTCATCGGAAAAAAGTGGTCTAATCAAAATATTTCATTTATGAATTCTTTATATTATATGTCCCTTCAAAATCGGTGCTTATAAGAGATTGCAAACTACGACGTTATCTGAATTTCGCCAATCAACTCTTTGGCAAATTAGATTTTTAACAGAATTACTTGAGCTTGACAAGATCACTCTTCACTTTGTAGCCAAGAGTGGGGATCTGAAGATTTATTCAATACATCGGCAAATGATGCGTGCTTAAACGCTTAGTTGGCTACTGGGCCAGTTCTGATAGGCACGTGCAGGTAATCAGAAAATCGAAGAACTTTGTCACGTTTTGGTTACAGGTCGCAAATGAGTATTGGATCTCCTGTTGCAAAAGCTAAACGATCGACGTATGTTTATTTGCCTCAATATGTGTAAGAATCTTTAAATTAAAAAAAAAAATAAAATATTCACAAGACCTTGTTTACCTAAGTCGCACAGTTCATCGACATGCACCATATTATCTCAAATATGCAATTTGAGATTGCTACGTTCAAACAGAATAATGTATATGAATGAAGAAAGAACACACACAACTACAAATGCGCTGCACAATTACATGATATATAAAATAAAGCGAATATATGTTGTAAACTTGGACACGAATTTGCAGTAACTAACAAAGGACACAAATTGCCACAGAAACATAAACTGAGTTCATCAGCATATTCTCAACATTGTTTGATGGTTTTATTCCCATCGGCTTTTTGGGAAATGCGAAAATCTAATTTAACTTCAGTCAGTGTGATTTGTTTCTGATGGTTTGCTCGAAGTCCTAAATGAGGAAAGTCAAAGTTGAATGCTGTCAAAATCCTGGACTGAGTTTTAGGTTGCTGGAGAAATGTAATGTTAAAATGGAAAAATTCGGTTCAATTGAACTCTTGGTGTTTTCTATATAACATTGTATAAATGGAGAATGTCTGGTTGGAGAGAACTGATATACAACACAGGAACAGAGCTACAAAGCCATGAGGATGATGCAAACCAGCATAACATATTTCAATGATAAGAGACTGATATCCATCTTATCCATTGCTGTTTGAATTTATTCATTGGAAGAAGTCTCAAATCCAAATATCTTTATATTGAAAAAAATTGAAGTGAACTCTTTATCGTTTAAAGTAAACGAATGTTCAGACGTAATATAATATTTTTTATTGCAAAAGATATAATGTTGAAAAATAAAAAAATTTGTGCAATATTTCTCGATATTTCAAAAAATGTTTGTTTTTCATCTACTCCATCTAGCGATCAATATAATGGGGGTAGATCTGAAAAATAGTGCAACAGTAGTAAAAGTGTCATAAGTGTTCATTTTTATGAGTGTGCAATATACGAAATAGGGCGAACGTTAAATTTATTTTTTGCATCTACGTTGTAGAAAAGGTTCAGATATTCAAGAAAGAAATCAACGATTTAACGAGGAAAAATGCACAGCCAGCTTCAACTATCGGATGTCTTACAACTCCGAAAATCAAGATTCAGCCTCGTACAGTGGATGTAGATTTCTATGGAAGCGCTGCCGAGAATGCTGAATATAAGCCAGAGCTTGGTTTCAGCCAGCACACTCAGAAGCAACCTGGCAAAGAAATATCCATGGAAAGCTTTTTTTCGGATGGCAAATCGAGAGTTGCTCTAGTCGGGGGAGCCGGATATGGCAAAACCGAAATGTCTAAAAGTTTCTCCGTTGATGTGCTTGATCAAAAGATACCAGAGCTTAGAGGAGTCGAGGTTGTTCGTCACATGAACTTTCGAGATCTTCTATCTAAGAAGGAAGTCAGTCTCGGGGAATTATTGTTTGGAGATACAGATTTGGATGAAGATGTCCGAGATCATGGTGTAGGATGGATCATATTGCATCCCGAAAAGTTTCTTCTCGTAATTGATGGAGCCGATCAATACGCTTCCCCTCAAGATCTTGGCAAATTACGCGGTAACGCCAATCACTATGATAAAGCAGATCCCAAGCTCCTTATTAATCTTATCCTCGCTCAAAAGCTTTTACCCGGCATCAAGCTTCTCTACTCATCACGTCAACACGTTTTACGTTTCTTCGAAGGAGAAGTTCGCCCTGAGAGAGTCATCGCCTTAGCAGGTCTCGATGAAGAAAGTGTGGAAAAGCTCATTTACGCATTTAGTGGAGAGCATGGCGAATATGTCATAAATCGTCTCAAAAAAGAAGCACGCGGCTTACTTTCTCTTTGCTCGATTCCGATGTTTCTCGTTCTTACAGTAACCGTGCTGATACTGTACAGAAACCTCAACCCCAAGAAAATGACCGACATCCTGCTTCTTGTCTTGCTGAATACCATGAAATCAGAGCATATGAGAGCAGGTGGAAGAGAGGATGTATCCATTTACGAAGTGTTCAACAGCTTGAAGAAAATGTCTTTTGACGGAATGAGGAACAAGAAAGTTACTTTCGCCCAATCAGATTTGCCGGAAGGAATCTCCATTGATCACTTGAAAGATATCATGATCCCAATACCAAGATCAATTGGAATCAACCAACGACTCTTCGAAAGGAACTTTGTATTCTTTTTCATCCACCAGTCCATTCAGGTTCGTAATCTAAGGCGTGGGTTTAGGGCGTGGTACCTTGGAAGTAGAAAAACTCATGTAACATATGGTTTGACGTGTTTCGGCTTTAAAAAAAATTTCAATGATTTTGATGAAAAAATTACAATTTCGAGTTTAGTTAAACTTACTTTCTTATTTGCTTCGAATTAAAACCAGGTTCGCATGCACCAGATCGTTAATTTCCAATACAAGGTACAGAATAATGTTTTCTCAATTGGTTCTAATTTTCATGGAAGAGTAGTAGTCTCAGCCCTGTGTAATTTTTGTCGGTTCCGATTTAATATCAAACCAATATATATTTGGTCGGATTGAACAACTTATTATCGACCAGACTCATTAAAACTGCTTCTGTGGCACTACCTGCATCCTTCTCTCCTCCATCTCGTTTGAAACTTGTTGATAAACTGAATCACCGACGACAAACGAATAAATCTCTTCTGTCAATTCTGATGAAAAGCTTAAATGCAAATCACCAAAACATGACCGAGGCTCACTTACGGGAGTTGCAGAGGGTGGGGTTGTCGGCCGGGTGAAATTTTTTTTATCTTTCCTAATTTGATGAAACGAGAGAACTTTATTTCTTTCAAATTTACCGGCTTGCTGTGATGTCTATAACGTCAGTGGTATTGCATGACTCTCAAGCTATTCCCCAGAACAGACGCTTCATCCACCTGACCACAACAACCATTGGGCATGCGTTTGGCAATTATTTGAAAACAGTTTTTATATAAAGTAGTGCTACAATGTACACAACTGGACAAGATATTTGTCACTGTCCGGCGTGTCGAAATGAAAATCGTTTTAGCAGTATCTTCATGCATTCTGTTCCAACTTTGGTGTCGCCTGTAGCTTTGCTCAGGAAACATTCTTTTTTAATTTCTGAATGAGTTCTCGTGATCCGGCTTTGAGCAAACGTCTCTAGATATATATCTGCTACAAAATTCAAATTAAATATACGACGACACACCCTCGTGCTGTGACAATTTTCTTTGACGACGGTATTCACCCATCACAGTTTTGGATCAAATGTGGAATAAGGTCTGTGTACATAAAAAACTTCATAATCACGGGCGTAAGAACTGTTTTTATGGGGGTTGAAATAGCTAAATCGTTATTATTAGAAAACAAATACAACGTCATTAAAGACATAACTTAGCACAGTCGAATACTGAAAACGTTATCGCGTACGTTTTTAACTAAAGCAATATAAATATTCATATATTAACCGTAAAAGTTGAGTAATATACATTGAGGAAACAAACGAGGCAGTTAATTAAACATAAAAGATAACTCGGAAGGATGATCGGGTGGCTGCGAAACTGGTTTGATCTTGGGAATATATTCGAATTCCGTTTTTCATTCTGGTATTTTTTCTTATCCTATCTTTTGGTCGAACAGGAAGCACTTGCTGCTCTTTACGTTGCTGAAATGCCGACTAAGGAATTCGAAAAGTTTGTTTCAACTGAACTCCATTTATCGCATTGGGTCGTAGTTCGTCGAATCTTATGCGGCTCTATATTGAATCCCGAGACATCCAAGATTGCAATGGGAGACGCAGCTGATGTTGGAATTCTTAAACAGGGTGAGCTCATCGTTAGTAGAAATCGTTTGTGTGTGTTATCGGGCGTTTCCCATACGTATGAGTGATTCAATATATGTTTATTTTAGCTCGCTTAATAACCAACAAGAAGAAACATTGTTATTTATCACTAATCGTGGGCTTAATCACTGACTTGTATTTGCATTAAATAGTCTGAGATACAGAAATCATGTTCCAAACATGCCCACCACAGCTTTAACCGCAGCCATAGGATATTTATTATTGACAACTGTCTCCGGCTTGAAAAACTTTCACCTCTTACTCCCAGTTTATCAGCTGATGGAGAAATAAACTTTTGACATAAAATCGCGGTTTGTAAGCCATCTTTAATGGACTTGTAGAGACGCTCAGTGGAATAAAATTCTTACATTTTTTTTTAAAACATTGAAATTATGTATAGTCCGATTTTCACCAATAACACTCCAAGCAATCCAGATTTTTGAAATTATTCCAAACTCCAAATTTTGTCCAACTAGCATTGAATTGGGAGAAAACTGATGTTTTAATGCAAAGGTCAGAAAGGCCATATTTAAAATGTGACCAATAATGCTGTTTGGGTTGCGAGGAGGATGTTCCAATTAATATATATCAAGCGCTTGTCCCTGATTGGTATTCGCCTGTTAGGTTTAGTTATTTTCACTAGTCGCGCTCCACTGATTCTATTGGCAGAGTTGTTAGAGAACCAAAGTAAACCAAACTTTATGATTTAATGAATAATTTTCTGACTGCAACGTTTTGCTTGAAAGGTATTGATCTGAAGAATAAGAGATCGATCTTGTTATCAAGCTTGATCAGCTGGACCTGGCTGGTTTCAACGTAAGTTCAAAGGAAGAGAGGCAGAGGGGGAGATCTACTCGAGCTCATACATGCTCTCGATGAATGTGGAAATAGTGCTGATAACGTCATCAAATCATCCATCCGTGAAATTGTTTTCACCTTCATACCTCTCACTCCAAGTGATAAATTCACTCTGGCATCTGTTCTCGGTCGTTGTTCACGTCTCGATATCCTCTGGCTGTATGGTGTTCCTCTCACATCATCTGATCTCAAACTCTTTGCTTCATCAATGCAAAGTTCGAATATCAAGGTCAGGATTGAATAAACCTACTATTTTTTTGAAATCGAATTTAATTTCACTAAATCGATCCAACAACAGTTCATTATAATTGACAGGTGTTGCTTGGTATGTCATTGGTAAATGAATTTGTAACAGTTGCAATATTGATGAATCACAAGTAATATCTGGTAATTTTACAGATATTCAGCAGTACCAGGCCTCTAATGTTACTAAGAAAATTTAATCAGACGCCTAAATTCAACATTTCAAATCCTGATTGACCAAAATTTTGACTTCCAACACCACTCCCTACTCCACAAATGCAACATTCTGTCAACAATCTTTCACTCCGAAATTGTAGTCTAATATCCAACTCCACTAAATTATACAATACAGCTCTGACTCTAACATCAGACTAAATCCGCTCAGACATCGTTACAATTCCACTCACTTCTTCCATTTAAAATTTTGTTTTATATCCTCGCTTCGATCACCTTTAATTCAATAGGTGTATTGAGTGTTCTCTCTGAACAAAGTTTTAGAATCAACAACTAAGGCTACTGTAATCCTGCTGTTGCCATTCCGCATAACTTGTGTTGGTAATCAGTAATATTCGATCCATATCGACCGATATTGTGGATAATTAAGTGATTAATGCGAAAAATATCATAATTTTGACAAATTCTTTTCCGTGAAATTATTTAAAAAATAGTTTTCATTAGACCAAGTGCATATTTAACCTAACTATGCGTGAGCTATTGATGAGCTTTCATATAAACAGTTGCAATCTTCGTTTTTTTCCTATTTCGAATACTACTAATGACTACATCAGTGGTTCTCAACCGCCGGTCCGCGTCAACCTTGCTGCCGGTCCGCCAAATATATTCCAATATAAATATATTATAAGCAAATTGCAAATACAAAGTATTGACTGCATGTCCATTCATTTTGTGATTTTTTAACTCCTATTGAATCGTAGTACCGGTATTTGTCTAACAACCAAACTTGATGAGAAGTCCACTGTCGATTTAATCCAGAGAATTTCGTGCGGCCCGCGAAGCATTCAGTGTCAGTATTATTAATATTACTGGCAACACTATTTCCAATTCATCTATTTTAATGGATCATCATTGACATCTAATTTTGTCAATACCTTTAACAATGAATCAAAATGACCATTGTCTTGGGCATAGTTACGCTATCTTATCAGAAAACAAAGATTAACGAGAAGGGGTAACGTTATTTTGTGGAATGTTTCGGCGCACGATACACGGGATATTTGAAAGTAATAAAAAGTTTATAACTTCAGCTCGATGATTAAACAACGGAAGATCTTAAAAAAATGCCCACGTTTCAATAATCGGTTAATGGTCACAAGAGGGATTCATTCACATTTTCTGTATTCGAAGTCTTGCAAAATGCGGATCTCTCGAAGAGAAAAACACCACGTTCTGGAATAGTAAATATACAGTTGCGGTTCAGGTTCGTAATGAGAAGGAAGATTTGAATTTCCGGCGCAATCTGCATTCCTGGCCCTCACTCTATAAAACCGTTACTGCATTATTTCTAATTTTATTTTAGTTGAACGGAGGCGGTAGTGTTTTTATGGTGGGGGCTTTGTACAAAAGTTCCCGAAATACTTTCCTGAAGCATTATTAACTAGAATTTGCATTTAACTCGACACAAAATGTCATGAAGAAGGTTCAATGAGACATAGGTTGAAATACGTTTAAGCGCAATGTCAAAATTACCAAAAAAGGGGAAGGGGATTGAGAAGAATCCGAAAATTACTATAAAACTGTCGCCACAATTAGGCATGATGATTCTGCATTTGCGCAAAGTATACAATCGGCCAATGCGAATCTATTCATAATTTGCTTTATTAATTTGAATTTGTGTGTTTTATATAACCTGCGGTTGCGTCGACAAAATAAGAACATTACTATGAAATATCACGACAATCCACAGCTATAAAATAGTCTTTCAAACTACCCGGATTATATTATTTTTTTTCGTATTTTCTTTTTTTGCATTGTTACGAATCATACAAATTTGATCTGTTCTTGTAAAACAGTTTCCGCTCTACCGCAATGCTACCACTAAAGTTTATTTCCTAGATGTCAACGTTAGAGAAATCCCTAGATCTGCGATAAAATATCAAAGACTACAATTTATTTTTTTGATTGTACAGTGATACCCGGTAGTCGACTAAAAATGCTGCGGAAATCGAACGGGAATTCGGATCTTGAACGCTCAAGCCGGGCGGAGCTCGCGGCCGAGTGAGATGATGCCACAAAATATCCCAACTTAATCGATACAGCTCATGACTGACTGACGAAAATCTTAGTATGCAATTGAGACTTGCCAAGTCATCTCGACTCATCTGTTCGTCCTTATATAAAGCGCTTAGTAAAGCTAAAAATTTCCAAAATTCGTCACTGAACAAAATATTCATTGACCGTTCCTTTTTATTTTATGCTGCAATATATCCGTATGAATGCAGTTGTTCGTTTTTGTTGATAAAAATTGACAGGTAGAAGACTTAAAAAGGCGCTTAATCAGCGGTGACTGGTTAAAATGGGGTTCGCGATAGCAAATAGGTTCGTCACCCCTAATTTAAGCCCTGAACGGCTGGATGTTCGTTAAATCTATGGCCTCATAACGGCGGCTTACTTCATAATCCGAGTAGTTTGATAGCACATAGTAGGGTACCTGATTGAAAAGTTCGCACGTTCCGTAATTTGACAGTAGGCTTATAATTTAGCAAAGTTTGATAGTAAAATGGAGACATGAAAACCCAGTTGGTGGTGTTGACATGACAGAGGAAGAGACTGCTACTTCAACTTTTTACAACATGCCCCGAAATGCTCTTGAAAACAAATATCCCGAGCTCAGTGACAGAGCCATTAAATTACTGCTGGTTTTTGTACAATTTACCTTTGTGAGAAAAGCTTTTCAACGTTACCTCTCATCAAGACCAAACAGAGAAATTGTGTGGAAGTCAACGCTTTACGTCGCCTTGCAGAAACTTTATTAGAGCCGCGTTTAAAACGTATAATATCGAAACGACAGCAGCAAATTCCTCATTAAATTGGATTATATATATCTCTTCTTTTGCACCGCCTCATTTTATCGTAATTGCATTCTTTCGACTATGTTTTGTATTCATGACATTTTTGGTTAATTTTGAAGGTCGCAGGTCCGCAAATTTGTTTTGGAATTTTACCGGTCCGCGAACTGAAAAAGGTTGAGAACCACTGGACTACATAATGTAACAATAAAATAAAGCAGATCTCCCATTCCACACTTCAGTAAATAATGCGGTAAAGACAGGTTAAAGTAACAGACGATGGGTCATTTACTGTTAACAATTTCGTAACCATTACCTAAAGCATATGCAACACCATGCACTTCTCATAATTAATTATGTTTAATCTATCATTTGCAGATAAAGAAGGCTGGTTTTGGAATCCCGGTGAGTTTATTGAAAGTGATTTTCGTTTTATCTTGATATTTTAATGCAATATTAACTTTTTATTTCCATACCTTGCTATGTAAGCTACTCATCTCTATTGCTTCAAATTGTTCTCAATGAATTATTTTTCTATTCAGGAATGAAGCTGTAGAAAAAGTGAGTCGGTTAAATTTATTTGTTATGGATCTCGAGTCCAATCCTTTGAACATTTACCTCGGTCAGTGTGTAATAGATTAGGCTATGTCGATTCTTTTCCGCAGTCATTGGATGTTTGCCAAGGAAAAAATATCGATTCAAATGTATTTATTGCGTGTTACCAGCTTGGTTACATCATCTCGACTGCGACCCTCTAGTGCTCAGTTCAAATTACGCATAAATTGTCGAGTTTTGAAAAGCAAGTTGTCGCCCCTGTGATTATTGGTTCACACCAAGGGTTCTCCCCAAGCAAAAATGGAGGTTGCAAACCGTTTTTATGCGAAACAGGATAGAAAAACCAGCTACCCTGTCACCAGTTTTCCCAGCCCCCAGAGATTATTCTAGTTTTCGTCAATTTTTTTGTCTTTCTAAAGCAAAGTTAGTTAAAATTTTTAATGAATTTTAAGTTCCTTCATATTTACTCCTAACAATTTGGAAACGTTTCTTTGACCAGGTTACGCCGACTGTTGCCTCAAAAATCGCTTTTGTAATTAATTTGAATCAGTTCTATAAATAAAGGAAAAACAGCATTATCGTGCCCATTCAGCGAATAGGATCTTCTTTGCGTTAGTTATTTGTTTCAAAATACGATTTCTGCTTCTCTCCGATTTTTACTTTCTATGTGCGTACTCCATTTACAACTGAAGTGCCATTTTTTTATCATATGTTCATCCAATGTGTACTTTCGGTTTGTGATAAAATAAACTACTGACTATCACAGAAAATATCGTCAAATCCCTTTTACTTTTTCGAGGTTTTTGCACAAAGGTCTCGCCCAGGTTCTCTGATCTCTTGGCCACATATAACCAGTGTGTTATCTATGCATAAGCAAATATACAGGGTGGTCGCTAGAAATACAGAAAAATTTGTTGAACTTATTATTTTACTTGTATTCTGACTTTGCAACCAGATCTATAGTTCTACTTTGTAAAGTTTACTTTGCTTTACAGATACTTGCTGCCGAACCTGGTGATGAAGTGAGTTGACTTGTTTGAATTACAGTGTCAGTATGAAATTGTTTTATATTCACCGCATGAATTTCCTTACGTACAAAGTGTCGACTCCTATTCTTAGGTTTTAAAGATTTTTCTTAAAACCTATTATTAATTTTTTATTGTAATCAGAGCCTAAAATGATTATTGTGGCGTTCCTGTTATCAGTATGACGACATCTGATCTAATTCAAAATATCCTAGAAGGTATAAAAAGTTTGGGCTGACTGGTTTGACCAGGGTTCGAACTCAAGAAGTCAGACTGCTAATTCCATCATTTTTTAAGTATTACCCCGAGCCATACTACAAATGCCATCACTGTTTAATTTACAAAGTTTCATTTTGTTTTAGCGGATAAGGATTATAGTAGAAGCAGTCAAGGTGAGTTGATTCTACTTGTTCGGTTATTTCTCTTTCAACAACATTCCTTTATCATATTACTCTGAACAAGGCACGAGACAAGCATTCCACTTCACTATGCCTGTAATCCAGCTGTTATGCAAACTCCATTCTCCATAATTGACCAAATTTATACAAATTAGGTTCGAAACACGTTAAATAAACACTTTTTTCTGATCCCCCCCCCCCCCCCAATTTTATAAAAAAAAATTTGTGCAAAGTGGCATATCACTCTGAATAAAGCCTTAGATAAGCAGTTACATAAATTTTACAAAGAACAAAACGTGAAGACCGTTGGACTAACCCGGGCTTGAACTCGGGTTCCACAATCTGTGGGGGCGTCGTTTACATCGGTAATCCAGATGTTATGCAGACTCTATACAAGGCTTTAGACAAGTAATTGACCAAATGTATCTAAACTACGTC